TAGTAATATATACATATATAGATTTATATATATATATATATGTAAATATATATATATATATATATATATCTGTACTTCTATCTGTGTGCTTGTGGTTATTTGATAGTGTATAAGTCTTACATCATGTTTAGCCACTGACACATACCCCATTCATTTGTTATCACATCTTTCAGATGCTTTTCACTGGGATTGTCTTGACAAGGAATGTCGGGCCCTTCCTCCAACTACTGCCCCCGCAGGATACACATGTCCAACCTGCTCGGTATGGTTTCTCGCATTGATATGTATTCGAACATACATATTGATATGTATTCGAACATACATATACCTACTACTAGTTTATATAGAGAGATACGTGTATAATTGTGAACGACTTTCTTGTCATGAGACCTCGCGTTGGTTTGATTGTATATATATATTTATACAAATAGATATATATATATATATATTTGTATTTATATTAATATTTATATTTGTAAATATACATCTATATATATATATATATATATATATATGTCTATATATATATATACTTATTTATATATATACATCTATATATATATATATAATGGTGAATACCTTTACTTGCTTACATATGTGTGTGGCTATATGTATTTGTATGCAATATATTACCATGTATCACTGACTCGTTATAAGAGCTCGCGTTGGTTTACGTGATTATATCCTAGTGTGTATCTACATATGGTTTTATATGGTTTGTGTACCCCGGCCTTTGTGCTAGAAGTCCTCGTACTAGTACGTATATATATATATATATATATGTATATGTATATAAACATGTACACGTATACTTTCTACGCATTCAATTATAGCTTCAAATTTTTCCCACAATGCTTTCAATATGTTCGTAACTAGGCAACTTGTCGTACTCAATCGTATGTACATGTACTCATATGTATATATGCTCATGTACCCATATGTATATATGACCATGTACCCATATGTATATATGCACATGTACTCATATGTATATATGCACATGTACTCATACGTATATATGCTCATGTACCCATACTCAATCGTATGCACATGTACTTATATGTATATATGCACAGGCTCCGATCATTCCCACAAAGAATTCCAATTCACCCGTAGCGGCGGCTTTAAATCAGAAGCTCTCGACCGCAGTTTGGGGCAAGACATCCGCATATGTGCCAGGCATGGACATGGTGTGTATACTGCTTAGTAATTGTGGCATAGATCAATGTATAACTATAGACATGGTATGTACACTGCGTAGTACCTGTGGAATAGATCAGTGTATGGCTATAGACATGGTATGTACACTTCTTAGTACCTGTGGCATAGATCAGTGTATGGCTATAGTTTCCATGGATAAATGGAGACGTGTGGGGTGGATGGTATGTGTTAATAGCCATAGTCACTTATTGTTTGCGATGCTAGTTCACGTGTGGGGTGGATGGTATGTGTTAATAGCCATAGTCACTGCTCGTTTGCGATGCTACTTCTGTGCATGCTACGTATGGATCGCCTAGGTGTCCCGGTTAGTGTGTTGGAGTATTTTGCTATCTAAATATAGTGCGTTGGGAGTATTTTGGTGTCTAGTTAGTATATTGATACAAGATTGGAAGATATCAACTGGATGCTATGTTTGTGCGGTAGGGTCTTTGGTTCGTAGACTACGAGTACGGGCGTGTCTGTGCCTGAACTGTACAGACTGGTCTTTAGCATACTCAGTATATGGACAAGTATTGATGTGTAAGGTTTGGGTGAGTGAAGTACCACAGCGGCTTATAGGCTCATATGACTAACGTTGTTGTATGCGGATGTGTGCACATTCGAACAGAGGGCCAGCGCACACGACAACAACGCACACCAAATGGGACACGCGAACACCTCACCACCAGCAAGGGATTATGGGAACCAGTACAAACGTATGTGCACATGCGTAGGTATTCTTATACATACATATAGGAGGACAAGGACACATATATATTCTCTTGTTAGTAACAATTTATGGGAATCTGTACAAACGTATGCGCACATATCTAAGTTCAATCTGAGAATGGACAAGGACACATATTCATGTATATGATTGTTATAAGTGTATGAGGATGTGCGGCATCCACTAACCAATGCTAATGGATTGTAGCAAGGGTGTATACGTGCATGTATAGGACTGTTTGTGCATGCATACGTGCACGGGGATGGGATACCTATCCATATACGATAACAACTGAACTTAGTATAATACATAGTCTCATGCATGGGTTTGGTAATGCTTATACCCTCCACAGCGCCACCATCGCAGTACACACAACAACAGAGCACAGTGCAGATATCACGAGATGACTCCGTTGACAGGCGACCGAGTGGTTTACAGACGGCCAGTTGGGTCACGCGATGGAAGAGAAAACTGGGGTATGTGCGTATGATTTGTGTTGTATTGTATGGATGTGTAGTGTGTGTGTTGCTGGGGTGTGTTCGTATGATTTGTGTTGTATTGTATGGATGTATAGTGTGTGTGTTGTTGGGGTGTTTGCGTATGATTTGTGTTGTATTGTATGGATGTGTAGTGTGTGTGTTGTTGGGGTATGTGCGTATGATTCGTGTTGTATTGTATGGATGTGCAGTGTGTGTGTTGTTGGGTATGTGCATATGATTTGTGTTGTGTCGTATGGATGTGTAGTGTGTGTGTTGTTGGGGTATGTGCGTATGATTTGTGTTGTATTGTATGGATGTGTAGTGTGTGTGTTGTTGGGGTGTGTGCGTATGATTTGTGTTGTATTGTATGGACGTGTATAGTGTGTGTGTGTGTGCATATGTATTCTATTGTTGTTATCCATAGACACACCTCTACTTTGTGTGTGTGTGCATATGTATTCTATTGTTGTTATCCATAGACACACCTCTACTGTGTGTGTGTGTGCAAATGTATTCTGTTGTTGTTATCCATTACACCTCTACTATGTGTGTGTGTGCATATGTACTCTATTGTTGTTATCAATCGACCCACCTCTACTGTGTGTGTGTGTACATATGTATTCTATTGTTGTTATCCATAGACACACTTTGCTGTGTGTATGTGTGCATATGTATTCTGTTGTTGTTTTCCATAGACATACCTCTACTGTGTGTGTGTGTGCATATGTATTCTATTGTTGTCATCCGTACACGGTGTGTGTTTCTTTGTCTGCCTGTACTCTCTCTATTAGTGTGAGCCTATTCGATGTATCGTGGTGTAGTGCAATGTAAAGTCTCTATTGGGTGCTACGGTTACTGTTCCAGATCTGAACAATCTGGCTGCCATAAATGGCGTGAAACAGCTCCTTGCCTGTCTATACTCTCATTGAGTTATTTTACTTTTCTTCTTCCCCATTGGCCGACACAGTGTACACCAACGTACCATCCTTATTTAGCAACCTTCCCTTATTTAGCGTATTCTGTCTTCGTTGGCATGCTTGCCGTATTTAGCTCCCTTTTCCTTATATGGCACACCTTCCTTTTGGCGCACCACAGCATCAGGCCCCTGGCGCTGATGGGCAGAGACTTTACTAGGCTGGCCATCGTGTGTCTCGGAGTGCTGTGTCTATATCTGCTGATGCAACGGTGAAGAGTCATCCCGGAATTCAATATAAAAAATCTATTCCGGTACGGGGGTTTTTTTGTGTAAACCCTGCACTCGATGGTGTTTATTAATGTATATACGGATTCACGGGACGTTTGACAGTACGCGTACATGTTGTATAGGAGAACGATCGGGGTGTGGAGACTTCTATAGTTAAAACCCCAAATTACTTCGAAGTGTAGGTAAGAGCAGTAGCATCCCTCATCCGATGCAGACGCTGTATCCAGCACCTCTGCAACCGTTGCATTCAGCACACGCATCTGTTCGATATCTCGGGCGTATGGGAATGTACAGTGTAGTAGAGCCATTTCACGTCTGTGTGTGTGTGTGTTATCATTAGTATGCATGTGCACGTGGGGGTTGTAGCTATCTGTGTGTGCACTGTGGCGTTATGGATACGCTTCGAAGCACTTCATATATAGCCACTCGCCCAGTAATGGCGATCAAGCCGAACGCCGAAATATTCAATGAATGTGTATATTATATAAGAGACATGAAACAGTCACTGTATGTATGTAGACATACAAGATCATATAAAATATGTAATGATTATTTATATAGATATATAGATACAAGGTGCTTACAAAATTTAGAATGAATGTATATATACTTATTAAGTGCAAAAAAAATATATAATGAATGTAACTATCCATATATCCATATCAAATACACGTGAAATACATAATGAATGTATATATATACATGGCACATAAAAAATATGTAGTGAAATTACATATACATTTAAGGTGCATACAAAATATATAGTGAATGTATATATACACATATACATACAAAATATATATTGAATATATATATATATATATATATACTTATAAGGTGCACTAAAATATATAATGAATATATATATATTTATGGTACATACAAGATATATAATAAATGTATATATACACAAACGTACCTACAAAATGTCCAATGAATATATATATATACATATACATATAAGGCATGTATGGCCCTGATAAAACGCTGTTTCTAGCCGAAGTGACAGATGTTGTCAGGTATACTAACTGTACATAGGACTGCTAACAGTTATATGCTGTTGGCCGAGAATTGGATTCGGATTATAGTATGGATTGATATTTGATAAGAGCTGTATGCTGCAACGTCACAAGGCCTGATTCACTATTTCCAAAGGATACCGCGATCCAAATACCTTGCCACACTTCCGAGACACACTTGTTATTTATTGGTTATAGTAACGAACGATGTTATACTGTACGCTTGTAATAGGTAGTAGGAGGCCAGTGCATATATCGATTTAGTGTGTGCGTGTGCATGTATCCAGCTAGTGTGTGCATGTGCATATATCGAGTTAGTGTTTGCACGTACATGTATCGAGCTAGCTTCTTCGTGGTGGTGGTCATGCTGGTGTGTCCAAACCTCTCCTGTGTTGCTTCTGCTGTAGTAAGACCTTCAGGTATTGTAGGTCACTCACTACCACCACTCGAGTCTATCCTCCTGTGTTGCTTCTGCTGTAGTAAGACCTTGGGTATTGTATAACACTCACTACCACCACTCTAGTCTATTGCGGTGTGTTCGTGTCCGTATTCGTCTCGATGATTCATGCCAAGTATTGAAGAAAGTCGGTCCCAATTTCCGGGTGGCCTATTCGGATGGCAACGGTGTTATGAGCACCTTCCGGTGTCCGCCTGCTGAGTCTGGGGATTCCCCCTCAATTTCGGAATGGGTTGGGTTTGATGGGTTTTGTCCACCTTTTTTTTTCGGGTTTGTTCTGTATTAAACCCAATCTCTCGCGGCTGATTTGGCCCTCTCCCGAAGTTCATTGGTAATCTGTGGGCTGTGGTGGTGTGTCTGCCCTTGCGGCTTCGGCTAGGTCGAGTCCTCCTGATTTAAGGTCCAGGAGTTCTTTCCCGGTCGCTCGCAGCTTACCACGCAATAGAAATATCCGTTCAGTCGCTGTAGGCGATGTATGAAACGGGCGCGTGTGGTTGGAGGTGGTTCCAAGAATAGATGTGTTGCAGGGTTTAGGGTTTAGAAGTAAACCCTAGAACACCTTTGGAAATGATATGTTTGCCGTGACTGTGACATTCCGGGAAGTAACGAGCTTGCTGTATTCGAAAGGCAGTATATCGATATGTGTTTATATTTGTGTATATCTTCGCATTGCATATATATATATGTGTGTAGATATATAAGGGCTTTGTTGCGTGCGACCGTCGCAGACACCAAAGTACGCACCACAGGTATCTATGTGAGCTAGGGTTTAGTTCAACATACGAGCCATTCACCAGTGCACATAGATCGCAAATGGAGTATAGCTCATTCAAATAAATAGCAATTCGCTATCTCTATCAGAAAATCACGATATATATATATATATATATATATATATATATATATAGTAAATAATATATATATATGTGT